AGGTTGTCAAGCAAGAAATATTATTTCAAACTTGATACTGTCTTTACTTTTAGAATTTTGTATGATATAAACAAAGATGGTGTTTGAACCAAAATGTTTCAGTTTGGGGTGCTATCCGGATGGTCCCATAAAGTTAGGCTGGAGTCAGGCTTTAAAAGCAACAGAATTGTTTTTTTTTTTTTTTTTTTTTAAATAGTGCCACGATTTAAGACAGTACTACAAAGTATTCTTTTTTTTGTAATTGATTACAAAAATCATTATTATTATTATGGCACTCGTGTGCCATAGACTCACTAATACGTCAAATCAAATAGTAACGTGTGCCATCGATGCATTAATGTGTCAATTGCGTTTTCCGCTGTTTTCCTGTTCCCAGATGTCTATTGTATCTAATGTGTATGGGGATTTGCTTTAGACCATATTTTATCAAGCCAGCAGGTGGCAGCAGCGCAGTGTCTGGTGATTTCAGTAAAACTTCCCTCTACTCGACTGGGGATTACAGGGGAATGAAACAAGCTAGAAACAAAACTTTTTGCTGATGAAAGTAGACATTCCATTCTTTCAGAATCTGGTCTCGGATTTCAGATAGTCATAGTACACAATATTTTGTGGGTCTTGAAAAATCAATAAAAATAAAACTACTGGCAATATGGGAGTACCTGTTCTGAAATGGGACAGCAGGCAATGAGTTAATTGAACTAAACCTGATATTTATATTTTTTGTTTCATAAGGAGAGACAAGATGTGAATCTGAGGCGCACCCTTGTTCTTCGAGCCCTGTCAATCTACTTGAAAGAGGATGACTCGGACTTATTCAAAAGGTTTGGGGTGAGTTGCATTTTTTGTGTGTGTGTTAATGTTAAATATTAACATGATTAAATAATATCATACCGTTTTGTACTTAACAGCAAGATGAGGAGTCAGACCTTTCGCAATGCCCCCTTGCTCTTCAGTTGGCATCCCAAGATGTCTTTGGAGGAGGAGCCGTCTCGATTATTCTTGAAGGCAGCGTTGTGATGGCCGAGATTTCAAATATGCTAGACGCCTTTCTTCTGCTTTTTGGACTGATCTTTGTCTTCAATATGGAGTACCCCAAGAAACTTGTGAACACTTTCAACTTCATCCAAAAAATCCTGGTATGCCTCGATGACAATAGAGTCATGAAACCGTGCCTACGGGCCCTTAAAAATGAGCTGTTCAGAGATGTTTTTCCATTTTAAACACTAATTTGTGTTAGTTATTGTGCAACTAGTTTTTATTTTATGTTCTGTCAGTTCTAGTACTCATCGCACAAAGGTTCAATGGAGAAAAAAAAGTTTAGACTGGTTTCAGAAAAAGTAGTCAGCAGAAAAAAGTTGTAAAGTGTTACTGGGGGTTTAATTTGTCTATTTTATTATTTAATTTATCTTTTAAGAGACACCGCAGATGCCTTAAATCAAAGATGATTGGTCTCTTTATTTTGTATTGTAAAATTCAATTAATGCTTTGGGGTCATGCACACAAGCATTTAAGGTTACATGTTTGATAGAACAGTGATTGTTGCACTTGCTGTTAGTTTATTCTCACTGGTCATGGAATCAAGTAGAGGAAAGTGTTTTCTAGTGTCAACGTTTAAATGTTCAAATTTAAATGTCTTAAAGGGCAATATTTTTCAAATAAATGTTGTTATTTTGATTCTTGTGTCAAGTCAGTTCATTGATATTTAAATGGATAGTTATAAAATATATAATTTGTATTAATGTAATTTTTTTGAGTTAAGTTGTTAAATTTGAGTGTAAAGAGGACAAAATAAATACTTTACCCAACTATAAATATTAGGTTAGTTGTGAGTAAAACATTTGACTTTAAAATGAAGATAATATAAGAAATATGTATTTAAAACTTTTGGGTTGGATTCAACTTAAAAGTTTCAAAAGATTAACTCAAAAGTTGTTTGTGTAATCAGTTACGAGAACATTTTTGAGTTCACTGAACTTTTTTGGGTTTACAGTGTTGTGGTCAGACCTGATATGTTTGTTGTAGGACCTCATATGTCACTCAGACCTGTCAAGGTCCTCATATGTGGCAATAAAATCATGCGGGGAAAAACTAAAACCAAAATATCAACTGAACACACCCTGCTCCCCCATATGTGATCCTCAGGTCTCTGGGACCTTCAGAAAGGCACGTCCTGATATGTCACAGTGCAGACATATGTCCTCATTTGTCACGCAAACGCGTATGTGTGTGTGTGTGTGTGTTTGTGTCTGTGTGTATGTGTTTCCCTTTAAAATCTATGATTCTTGTGGTAGTTCTGGATGAGGCTCCTAATCCTCTCTGATGTTAATTGTCCACGAAGAGACTAAAGCAGGACTAAAGCAGGACTAAAGCAGGACTAAAGCAGGACTAAAGCAGGACTAAAGCAGGACTAAAGCAGGACTGAAACAGGACTGAAGCAGAGTGCGTGTCGCCTGGTCGGACCAGCAGTAGGTCTGGACAGGGAGGTGCAGTGAGGGCATGTGTCCACCAGAGGGAAGTGTTGCACAGCTGTGATCAGAGTCTTCATCAAACCTGAAATATATGAATCTCGCCAAAACATGTAGTAGTAAAATATACATTTATATTACTACAGTATCACTGCTGCCAGAGACCAGAGAGAGACCAGAGAGGGACCAGAGAGGGACCAGAGAGAGACCAGAGAGAGACCAGAGAGGGACCAGAGAGAGACCAGAGAGAGACCAGAGATGGACCAGAGAGAGACCAGAGAGAGACCAGAGAGGGACCAGAGAGAGACCAGAGAGAGACCAGAGAGGGACCAGAGAGAGACCAGAGAGAGACCAGGGAGAAACCAGAGAGGGACCAGAGAGAGACTAGAGAGAGACCAGGGAGAAACCAGAGAGGGACCAGAGAGAGACTAGAGAGAGACCAGGGAGATATTTTTTAGATCGGGATTATTCTCCAGATTCTCATTAAACAGAAATCAATACAAACGTTCTGAGCTTGAATGTTTAAAAAAAAAAACATAAATAAAACATTTATCGGTGTCCATAAAACATTTATCATCTGAGGTTGTAGACCCAGGACCCAGGCTGTAGACCCAGGACTGAGGCTGTGGACCCAGGACTGAGGCTGTAGACCCAGGACCCAGGCTGTAGATCCAGGACTGAGGCTGTAGACCCAGGACTGAGGCTATAGATCCAGGACTGAGGCTGTAGACCCAGGACTGAGGCTGTAGATCCAGGACTGAGGCTGTAGACCCAGGACCCAGGCTGTAGACCCAGGACTGAGGCTGTAGATTCAGGACTGAGGCTGTAGACCCAGGACTGAGGCTGTAGACCCAGGACTGAGGCTGTAGACCCAGGACTGAGGCTGTAGACCCAGGACTGAGGCTGTAGACCCAGGACTGAGGCTGTAGACCCAGGAGAGGACAGTGCAGTTCACACTCTCCTCCAGCAGGGGGCTGTTTCTAAGGGACCTTTGTCAGAGGTGTTTCCTTTTTCATTTCTTCAAACCAGGAACAAACCAACGACGCTCTGGACGTCTGTGGGCGTCTGCGTCTCTGGGAAAACATGGCGGATCACCATGGCAACAGAGTTCTATAGCGGCTTCATGGTCCTCTGAGTGACTGCTGTGATCAGGTCCAGAGGTCGTTATAGTTGCTGCCTCAGAATCATATCACACCAGAAAGACCAGAAAAAGACAATAGAGACCAGAGAGAGACCAGAGGGAGGGACCAGAGAGAGACCAAAGAGAGACCAAATAGAGACCATAGAGACCAGAGAGAGACCAGAGGGAGGGACCAGAGAGAGACCAAAGAGAGACCAAAGAGAGACCATAGAGACCAGAGAGAGACCAGAGGGAGGGACCAGAGAGAGACCAAAGAGAGACCGGAGAGAGACCAAAGAGAGACTAGAGAGAGGGACCAGAGAGACGAACTAGAGAGAGACCAGAGAGACCCCAGAGAGAGGAACCAGAGAGAGACCAGCGGAAGACCAACAAGAGAGACCAGAGTCCTTTTCCACAGATCGATGCCTTAGATCTTTCCGTGTTTTTTCATGTTCTAAATGTAAATCAGAAGTTTTTCCAAACCTGGTCCCATCAGCGCTCTCAGAGTTTTAATGAGGTGATCTACGTCATCTCTCTCGCTGCTCTTTCTGGTCCTTCTCAATGGTCCTCTGCATTCATGAATAGGTAATGAGAGCGACATATGGTGCGGTGAGAGGGTAAGTCATGTCGAGGACCTACAAGAGCCTCGGTGTTCATTAGAGGTCGTTATAGTTGCTGCCTCAGAATCATATCACACCAGAAAGACCAGAAAGAGACCATAGAGAGACCAGAGAGAGACCAGAGAGAGACCATAGAGAGACCTGAGAGACCAGAGAGAGACCAGAGAGAGAGACCAGAGAGAGACCAGAGAGAGACCAGAGAGAGACCAGAGAGAGAGACCAGAGAGAGGGACCAGAGAGAGAGACCAGAGAGAGAGACCAGAGAGAGACCAGAGAGAGGGACCAGAGAGAGACCAGAGAGAGAGACCAGAGAGAGTGACCAGAGAGAGACCAGAGAGAGAGACCAGAGAGAGAGAGGGACCAGAGAGAGACCAGAGAGAGAGACCAGAGAGAGTGACCAGAGAGAGACCAGAGAGAGACCAGAGAGAGGGACCAGAGAGAGACCAGAGAGAGAGACCAGAGAGAGTGACCAGAGAGAGGCCAGAGAGAGAGACCAGAGAGAGGGACCAGAGAGAGAGACCAGAGAGAGAGACCAGAGAGAGACCAGAGAGAGGGACCAGAGAGAGAGACCAGAGAGAGACCAGAGAGAGACCAGAGAGAGACCAGAGAGAGAGACCAGAGAGAGAGACTAGAGAGAGAGACCAGAGAGAGACCAGAGAGACACCAGAGAGACACCAGAGAGACCAGAGAAACAGACCAGAGAGACACCAGAGAGACCAGAGAAACAGACCAGAGAGACACCAGAGAGAAACAATAGATAGAGACCAGGGAGATGTTTGTATTTCCTGTTTCTCATCAGGCACAGAGGACCAGGGTCAGCTCCTCAGTCACAGATCCGGCTGGTTTCCGCGGTAACGGCACCAGTGATGTGACGGCCATCTTTGTCGTAGGGGTCAGAGGTCGAGGTCGGGCTTTAATGAAGTATGAACCTTGCAATACACATACACAAAGACACACACACACACACACATATACAAACAAACAGAGATACACACACTGAGTCAGAAAATATTGAGATATGGAAACAACTCTCTCTCTGGAGTTCTCTCCTCAGTGTGTGTGTGTTTGTGTGTGTGTGTGTGTGTGTGTGTGTTTGTGTTACTTCTCCTCTGAAGTCGTTCATGTGTTATTCGCAGCTGTGGCTCCAGGACTGAGACATTATACAGTTTAACCTACTGCTCAAATGAGAGACCAGAGAGGGACCAGCGAGAGAGACCAGAGAGAGAGACCAGAGAGAGAGACCAGAGCGAGACCTGAGAGAGAGACCAGAGCGAGACCTGAGAGAGCGACCAGAGAGAGACCAGAGACCGACCAGAGACAGACCAGAGAGAGACCAGAGAGAAAGACCAGAGAGAAAGACCAGAGAGAGAGACCAGAGAGAGACCAGAGAGAGACAAGAGAGAGACCAGAGCGAGACCTGAGAGAGAGACCAGAGAGAGACCTGAGACAGACCAGAGACAGACCAGAGAGAGACCAGAGAGAAAGACCAGAGAGAAAGACCAGAGAGAGAGACCAGAGAGAGACCAGAGAGAGACCAGAGAGAGACCAGAGCGAGACCTGAGAGAGAGACCAGAGAGAGACCAGAGACAGACCAGAGAGAGACCAGAGAGAGACCAGAGAGAGACCAGAGAGAGAGAGAGGGTAGAGAGAGAGACCAGAGACAGACCTGAGAGAGACCTGAGAGAGACCAGAGAGAGAGACCAGAGACCGACCTGAGAGAGACCAGAGAGAGACCAGAGAGAGACCAGAGAGAGACCAGAGCGAGACCTGAGAGAGAGACCAGAGCGAGACCTGAGAGAGAGACCAGAGAGAGACCAGAGACAGACCAGAGAGAGACCAGAGAGAGAGAGAGGGTAGAGAGAGAGACCAGAGACAGACCTGAGAGAGACCTGAGAGAGACCTGAGAGAGACCAGAGAGAGACTAGAGTGAAACCAGAGCGATACCTGAAAGAGAGACCAGAGTGAGACCAGTGAGAGACCTGAGAGAGACCTGAGAGAGACCAGAGAGAGAGACCAGAGACCGACCAGAGAGAGACCAGAGAGAGACCAGAGAGAGACCAGAGCGAGACCTGAGAGAGAGACCAGAGCGAGACCTGAGAGAGAGACCAGAGAGAGACCTGAGACAGACCAGAGAGAGACCAGAGAGAAAGACCAGAGAGAAAGACCAGAGAGAGAGACCAGAGAGAGACCAGAGAGAGACCAGAGAGAGACCAGAGCGAGACCTGAGAGAGAGACCAGAGCGAGACCTGAGAGAGAGACCAGAGAGAGACCAGAGACCGACCAGAGAGAGACCAGAGAGAGACAAGAGAGAGACCAGAGCGAGACCTGAGAGAGAGACCAGAGCGAGACCTGAGAGAGAGACCAGAGAGAGACCTGAGACAGACCAGAGACAGACCAGAGAGAGACCAGAGAGAAAGACCAGAGAGAAAGACCAGAGAGAGAGAGAGACCAGAGAGAGACCAGAGAGAGACCAGAGAGAGACCAGAGAGAGACCTGAGAGAGAGACCAGAGAGAGACCAGAGACAGACCAGAGAGAGACCAGAGAGAGACCAGAGAGAGAGACCAGAGAGAGAGAGAGGGTAGAGAGAGAGACCAGAGACAGACCTGAGAGAGACCTGAGAGAGACCAGAGAGAGAGACCAGAGACCGACCAGAGAGAGACCAGAGAGAGACCAGAGCGAGACCTGAGAGAGAGACCAGAGCGAGACTTGAGAGAGAGACCAGAGAGAGACCTGAGACAGACCAGAGAGAGACCAGAGAGAAAGACCAGAGAGAAAGACCAGAGAGAGAGACCAGAGAGAGACCAGAGAGAGACCAGAGAGAGACCAGAGTGAGACCTGAGAGAGAGACCAGAGCGAGACCTGAGAGAGAGACCAGAGAGAGACCAGAGACAGACCAGAGAGAGACCAGAGAGAGACCAGAGCGAGACCTGAGAGAGAGACCAGAGAGAGACCAGAGAGAGACCAGAGAGAGACCAGAGTGAGACCTGAGAGAGAGACCAGAGCGAGACCTGAGAGAGAGACCAGAGAGAGACCAGAGAGAGACCAGAGACAGACCTGAGAGAGACCTGAGAGAGACCTGAGAGAGACCAGAGAGAGACTAGAGTGAAACCAGAGCGATACCTGAAAGAGAGACCAGAGTGAGACCAGTGAGAGACCTGAGAGAGACCTGAGAGAGACCAGAGAGAGAGACCAGAGACCGACCAGAGAGAGACCAGAGAGAGACCAGAGAGAGACCAGAGCGAGACCTGAGAGTGAGACCAGAGCGAGACCTGAGAGAGAGACCAGAGAGAGACCTGAGACAGACCAGAGAGAGACCAGAGAGAAAGACCAGAGAGAAAGACCAGAGAGAGAGACCAGAGAGAGACCAGAGAGAGACCAGAGAGAGACCAGAGCGAGACCTGAGAGAGAGACCAGAGCGAGACCTGAGAGAGAGACCAGAGAGAGACCAGAGACAGACCAGAGAGAGACCAGAGAGACCAGAGAGAGAGGGTAGAGAGAGAGACCAGAGACAGACCTGAGCGAGACCAGAGCGAGACCAGAGCGATACCAATGATACTTGGTCCATGGACATGCACCAAGTCCTCCTTCTGTAATTATATTTTCGTTGTCTAACGCTCTGTCACTGGTAGAACATGCAAACCCTGTGTCTTTCTTACAACTCATTTTAATTGAACTAACATCCGTAATCTTCCAGTGGGTTTAGCTTGTTATAAAAACCTCAAACCATCGAATCGTTCACTTCTGGTTATTATTTATTCATGTTTCCAATTAGAGACGCAGGAACAAACACGCTCCACTGGAACCAGCTCTAATCTCAGCTGTAACGGAGACCAGAACGAGACCAGAGAGAGACCGGAGAGAGACCAGAGAGAGAGACCAGAGAGAGACCAGAGAGAGACTAGAGAGACCAGAGAGAGACCAGAGAGAGACCAGAGAGAGACCGGAGAAAGACCAGAGAGAGAGACCAAGAGAGGCCGGAGAGAGACCAGAGAGAGACCACAGAGAGACAAGAGAGGCACTAGAGAGAGACCAGATAGAGACCAGAGAGAGACCAGAGAGAGACCAGATAGAGACCAGATAGAGACCAGAGAGAGACCAGAGAGAGACTGGAGAGAGAGACCAGAGAGAGACCAGAGAGAGACCAGAGAGAGACCAGATAGAGACCAGAGAGAGACCAGAGAGAGACTGGAGAGAGACCAGAGAGAGACCAGAGAGAGACCAGAGAGAGACTGGAGAGAGACCAGAGAGAGACCAGAGATAAACTAGAGAGAGACCAGGGAGACCAGAAAGAGACCAGAGAGAGAGAGACCAGAGAGAGACCAGAGAAAGAGAGACCAGAGAGAGAGAGACCAGAGATAAACTAGAGAGAGACCAGGGAGACCAGAAAGAGACCAGAGATAAACTAGAGAGAGACCAGGGAGACCAGAAAGAGACCAGAGAGAGACCAGAGAGAGTCCATGGGAAACTAGAGAGAGTCAGAGAGAGACCAAATAGACTAGAGAGAGACCAGAAAGAGAAACGAGTAAGAGACCAGATAGATCCCAGTCCTTGTCCTGTCCTGGTCCTGGTCCTGGTCCTGTGGGAGACGTCAGACTCAGACCAAGGTTAAACTGAGACTGGACGTATGTGTCCCATCTGCTGTGAAGGGGACCGTGACAACACCACAAACACTGCAGCTTATTATGCATGAAATAGGACTCTGACGAACCAAAGAGAGAGAGACCAGAGGGACCAGAGAGAGACCAGAGAGGGACCAGAGAGAGACCAGAGAGGCACAAGAGAGGGACCAGAGAGACCAAAGCGATACTAGAGGGAGACCAGAGAGAGAGAGAAGAGGGACCAGAGAGAGATGAGAAAGTGACTAGAGAGAGAGACTAGATTCTGGAGAGACCAGAGAAAGAGAGAGAGACTGCAGAGAGAGGGAAAAGAGAGGGACTAGAGAAAGACCAGAGAGAGACCAGAGAAAGACCAGAGAGAGACCAGAGAGAGACCAGAGAGAGACCAGAGAGAGACCAGAGAAAGACCAGAGAGAGACAAGAGAAAGACCAGAGACAGCCTGAATCTCCTTCAGAATTATCCTCTGCTCGTCGTGTTCGTGGCGTTTATCCCTGGGACAAAGCGCTCGGTGTCATTATGGTCCGCTGTATCTGTGCAGCACCCGCTGGGAGAGCCCTGTCCGGCCGCAGAAATAAGAGGCTAATTAGAGGAAGGATCGTTGGAGCGGCTCGGGCCCAGGCATAAAGTTTGACTAAAATATAAAACGGGATTCGCTGGCACAGGCAGTTCTGGTTTTATGGAGCTCCAGAGGAAAACGCTGTCATCAGTTATGTCCTGGTATTTTACCGTTGATGGTCCACAGAGCGGCGTGGACTAAACCGAGGAAGGAACGGTTTGTGCACGAGAAAAATAAAGTTTCAGAGGTTTTACCGTGATGGAAGAGGATCTGTGTGTTTAAGGACTGTGTGGATGTGTTAGGAACAGGACCAGAGGGAGACCGGAGGGAGACCAGAGGGAGACCAGAGGGAGACCAGAGGGAGACCAGAGGGAGACCAGAGAGAGACCCGAGAGAGACCCGAGAGAGACCAGAGGGAGACCAGAGGGAGACCAGAGGGAGACCAGAGGGAGACCAGAGGGAGACCAGAGGGAGACCAGAGAGAGACCAGAGGGAGACCAGAGAGAGAGAGACCAGAGAGAGACCAGAGAGAGACCAGAGAGAGACCAGAGAGAGACCAGAGAGAGACCAGAGAGAGACCAGAGAGAGACCAGAGAGAGACCAGAGAGAGACCAGAGAGAGACCAGAGAGAGGCAATAGGGAGACCTCATCCCTCACTCTGTATATCAGACCAGAGGTACTGTCTCCTCGGTCTCCTCCTGTTAGTGAAGGAGCAGGTTTCTCAGATCTGGGCCTGGTCCTCCGAGACTCTCACCTCGGAAACAGAAATCACACTCAGAGACACAGGGGCTCTCTCTGGTCTCTCTCTGTTCTCTCTCTGCTCTCTCTCTGCTCTCTCTCTCTGCTCTCTCTCTCTGTTCTCTCTCTGCTCTCTCTCTCTGCTCTCTCTCTCTGCTCTCTCTCTCTGCTCTCTCTCTGCTCTCTCTCTCTCTGGTCTCTCTCTCTCTCTGCTCTCTCTGCACTCTGTCTTCTCTCTCTCTGCTCTCTCTCTCTCTCTGGTCTCTCTCTCTCTGACAGCTGAACTCACATCTAAGAAACAATAGCAGAAAGTCGTTCCTGACGTCTTCTCATGCCAAATCTAAATCTCACATTCCGAGCCTTTGATCTCCTCCGGTCTGTGGAGATAAGTGCCATCATCAGGACCCGGTCTGGGGGTGTCCGTCATTTCAGGTCTGGGGGTGTCCGTCATTTCAGGTCTGGGGGTGTCCGTCATTTCTGCAGAGACTGAGGAGAAGCAGCAGCTGCAGAAACACAGAGACACAGACCTGCCTCAAAAAGCTGAAAATTCACAATAATAAAAGAAAATGGGGACGAGGTAATGCTGCAATTTTCTGCTTTTCCATCAGAGACCAAAGACCTGAGGATCAGAGAGAGAGAGAGAGACGTCTGAGCGAGAGAGAGAGAGAGAGAGACGTCTGAGAGAGAGAGAGAGAGAGAGAGAGAGAGACGTCTGAGAGAGAGAGAGAGAGAGAGAGAGAGACGTCTGAGAGGGAGGGAGAGACGTCTGAGAGAGAGAGAGAGAGACGTCTGAGAGGGAGGGAGAGACGTCTGAGAGAGAGAGAGAGACATCTGAGAGGGAGGGAGAGACGTCTGAGAGGGAGGGAGAGATGTCTGAGAGAGAGAGAGAGAGAGACATCTAAGAGAGAGTGTGAGAGAGAGAGAGACGTCTGAGAGAGAGAGAGACGTCTGAGAGAGAGTGTGAGAGAGAGAGAGACGTCGGAGAGGGAGGGAGAAACGTCTGAGAGGGAGGGAGAGACGTCTGAGAGAGAGAGAGAGAGAGACATCTAAGAGAGAGTGTGAGAGAGAGAGAGACGTCTGAGAGAGAGAGAGACGTCTGAGAGGGAGGGAGAAACGTCTGAGAGAGAGAGAGAGAGACATCTGAGAGGGAGGGAGAGACGTCTGAGAGGGAGGGAGAGACGTCTGAGAGAGAGAGAGAGAAATGTCTGAGAGAGAGAGAGAGAGACGCCTGAGAGGGAGGGAGAGAGAAAGACATCTGAGAGATAGTGAGAGAGAGAGAGAGAGAGAGAGAGAACCATCTGAGAGATACAGACTCTGAGTGAAAGACACCTGGGAAAGAGAGCTCTGAGAGAGACTGTTCCTGAGCCTGACAAGTTTGTTTTCTAAGATACTGGTGACAAAAGACTGTCTCTGGTCTCTCTCTCTGGTCTCTCTGGTCACTCTTTCTCTCAGTGTAAGGTCTCTCTCTGGTCTCTCTCTCCCCCCTCTGGTCTGTCATCCCTCTCCTTCCTCTCTTCTCTCTCCTTCTCCTCTCTCCTCTCTCCTCTCTCTCCTCTCTCTCTCCTCTCTCTCCTCTCTCTCCTCCTCCTCTCCCTCTTCTCTCTCTCTCCTCTCTGCTCTCCTCTCTTCCTTCTCTCTCCTCCTCTCCCTCTCCTCTCTCTCCTCCTCTCTCCTCTCTCTCCTCTCTCATCCTTCTTCTCCTCTCCTCCTCTCTCCCCTCTCTCCCCTTCCTCTCTCTCCTCTGCTCTCTTTCTCCTCTCCTCCTCTCTCTCTACCTCATCTCTCTCCCCTCTCCCCTCCTCTCCTCCTTCCCTCCCCCTCCTTCTCATCTCTCCCCCTCCTTTCCCATTTCTCAAAAACTCTTCTCTCTCCTCTCCTCTCCCCCTCCCCTGGCACCTACGCTCCCCATCCACTCTCCACTTCTTCCTTCCCCCGTCTTCCTCTCGCCCTTCTTTCCCCCCCCTCCCTCACCAGAGTGGACTGACCGTTCCTTCCCTCTCATCCTCTCCTCCCCCCCTTCTCCATCTCTCCCCCCCCTCTCCCTCCCCCCTCCTCCTCTGCTCACTCTCTTCCACTCCTTCACCTCACAGCCCTCCCCCCCCTCCTACTCCCTCTCTCATTCTTCTCTCTCTCTGATCTCTCGACTCTCCCTCCCATTCCTCTCTCTGATCTCTCTCTCCCTCTCTTCCTCTCACTACCTCCTCTGTCTCTCTCTCTTCCCACAACTCTCCCCCCCTCTCCC